AAAGAGTGCTTTCAGTGTAGAGCTCTATCAGCTTCAAGGGCATTAGACTTAATTCTCGTTGTTATCCATAGCTAATCAGAGGCCAAGCTAAATGCTTAAGTGGTAATGTCAGAAAGTTTAAGCATTGCTCATGATTTCCCTTTTAATGTACAGGTTGGTGGACCTGGGCTACTTCAGACAATAGTGCAGACCCAATGGAAAGAATCAGGGGGCTGAATCACCTCTTCCTTAAGCAAGTTCCTTCTCCTGTTTTACTACTTCAGATAAAAATGGAAAGGATGAGTAACTGTTTTATATAGATAATTCCCAATAATACCAACAATCTGGTCTATAATCTTTTACCTGTTCTCTTCAGCTTCTAGCTTAGTTATGGACACTTAAACTGAAATATAATGAAGACTTAAAATAACCAGATTGGTCTTTTTGGTCTTTAGGATGAAATAGGATGCAGTTATTTTAGTTGGGGATACTTCTGTTTTTCTCTTTTATAACTTATGAAGGTTATTTTCTTGGTCTTGTGACAGTCACAGTGGTAGAGGAGTTGTCAGTGTGGGGAGCATCAGAAGGAAAAATGTGTGCATGAACAAGGTAGATGGACACTTCCAATATATCCTGTGGAAAAATCAAACCTATTGAATAGGTAGTGTGTTGTAGTGTGCTCTTATATCACTAAATGAATGTGAAAGGGCTACACAAGTCATCTGAGTACAAAATTAAGAGATAACACAAGAAGTCTGAGATATTGCTTATTATTAACCAAATAATCATACATCTTGAATTGTTCTTTCTGAGAACGTATCAACTGCTTAAAGATCCCATGTCATAATGATCAGCCCTCTGGTACAGATAGACAGATGATGTTCCTTCTGTTGTTGGTGGGTATTGGGAGAATTGCTTATAAATCAACAGAAAGTGCCTCCACCTTTCAATAAGATGAGCACAAATAACTGGTGGACTAGAAACTTCAGGATTGACCCCTGTAATTAAACTCAGATTCTCACACAGCAACATCGTTTATATTACCTCAGAAAATAAAGTTTGCACAATTTAGTACAGATATGGAAGTTAAAGAGAGAAGTATATTATTTATCATGAGCTCTTCTGCTGAGGAACTAACCTTATAAGAGGATCCGGATTTAATGAAATTCTTTTCTAATATATTATCAAGGGCAGGATCCAACTCTTCACCTATATCCTCAATAACAAGTGATCGTCCCAGTGAAAGGCTGTCCTCCAAATGTGTGCGGAAATACTTGTGGTTTAAAGTTGTCACCTTAAAAAGGAAATAATTAATTGGCATAAAGATAAAAGTACTTCTTCAAAGTACTATGTAAAAACTGCAAATCTTTTTGGAAAAATACTTTTTTACTTTTAAAAAACCAATGGATTATGTCTATTTGCTTTACTATAGCAATCTCAAAATGTATGTGGTAAGAAATACTTCTTGTTACAACTACAAAGATAAGTTATAAAAAAAGCTCTGAAGAACAGAAAATGATACCAGAGATTGATTGTAGTAAGATAAGAAGTCTTTCACTGCTGGGTGCCCAGAATAAATCTGATACAGATTGTTAGCAAATTACTTTTTACTCCTATACAGCCATTTGGTATTTTCAAACTCAGCAGCTACTTCTCTATTCTGTGCCCTTCATGAAGATTTTCT